GGAACCGGAGAACTCAGGCCTAGTTGCACTTGAAAGCCGTGTTGCCTGAACTGAACTTACTTCCCAAGATACTTAAATCCCAAACCAAGACTTGAAACAGGAACCGGAGAACTCAGGCCTAGTTGCACTTGAAAGCCGTGTTGCCTGAACTGAACTTACTTCCCAAGATACTTAAATCCCAAACCAAGACTTGAAACAGGAACCGGAGAACTCAGGCCTAGTTGCACTTGAAAGCCGTGTTGCCTGAACTGAACTTACTTCCCAAGATACTTAAATCCCAAACCAAGACTTGAAACAGGAACCGGAGAACTCAGGCCTAGTTGCACTTGAAAGCCGTGTTGCCTGAACTGAACTTACTTCCCAAGATACTTAAATCCCAAACCAAGACTTGAAACAGGAACCGGAGAACTCAGGCCTAGTTGCACTTGAAAGCCGTGTTGCCTGAACTGAACTTACTTCCCAAGATACTTAAATCCCAAACCAAGACTTGAAACAGGAACCGGAGAACTCAGGCCTAGTTGCACTTGAAAGCTGTGTTGCCTGAACTGAACTTAGACTGCTCTTTATCTCCTAATAAACAGACATGAAAGCATTGCATCTGCCATGGAATTTCTGTTTCCCTCAAAGCCATGTTGATCTACAAGCTGGCTCTCTGCTCTAATCTGCAAGCGTGTTTCCTTGCTTAGGTCAATATCACCAGGTGCTTTCCCATGAGAGTTTCTCATCCATTTGTTTTTGATTCCAATTCCTGTGGCTTGCCTTGAGGTTCAGAGGCAATTATATCCTCTGGTCCAGCATCCCGATCTGAAACGGTTTCACTTTCTTGGCCTGTGCCAGGATTTAATCCCAGGAAATCCCACAATCCTGTCTCACTCTAAGTCATCAGTGAACCCATCGGTCCTGGCTGCTGTGACTGTTGCAGAGCTACAACACGGGGCTGAAATGGAGGTCTCTGGAGCTCCATGCTTCTCTCCTCCCTCCTTCCTCCAAGGCCTTCAGGCAGTTTACAAAACCTGGAATGGAGGAAACCCCAGCAACTACAACTCCCAAATGTCAAGATTCTATTTTCTCCCAAACTCCACCAGTGTTCACATGTGGGCATATTGAGTATTCGTGTAGAGTTTGGTCCAGATCCATCATTGTTTGAGTCCACAGTGATCTCTGGATGGAGGTGAACTACAACTCCAAAACCAAAGGACATTTTACAAAACCTGGAATGGAGGAAACCCCAGCAACTACAACTCCCAAATGTCAAGATTCTATTTTCCCCAAACTCCACCAGTGTTCATATTTGGGCATAATGAGATCCATCATTGTTTGAGTCCACAGTGATGTCTGGATGGAGGTGAACTACAACTCCCAAACTAAAGGACAGTGCCCACCAAACCCAGTATTTTCTGTTGGTCATGGGAGTCCTGTGTGCCAAGTTTGGTTGAATTCCATCATTGGTGGGGTTCAGAATACAATTTGATTGTAGGTGAACTATAAATCCCACCAACTACAACTCCCAAACATCAAGATTCTATTTTCCCCAAACTCCACCAGTGTTCACATTTGGGCATATGGAGTATTCGTGTAGAGTTTGGTCCAGATCCGTCATTGTTTGAGTCCACAGTGATCTCTGGATGTAGGTGAACTACAACTCCAAAACCAAAGGACACTGCCCACCAAATGCTTGTAGTGTTTTTTTGTTGATCATGGGAGTTCGGTGTCCCAAGTTTGGTTCAATTCCATCGTTGGTGGAGTTCAGAATGCTCTTTGATTGTAGGTTTACTATAAATCCCAGCAACTACAACCCCCAAATGACAAAATCAATTTTTTGAGTGAAAGTCATACATTGGGTTGTTAGGTGTCTTGTGCCCAAATTTGGTGTCAATTCGTCCAGTGGTTTTTGAGTTCTGTTAATCCCACAAATGAACATTGCATTTTTATTTATATAGATGTCTCTAAGAATCCGCTAATGCCCATGAGACTGGATGGCCATCTGTCGAGAGGGCTTGGATAGTGCATTGGACCTGATGGCCCTTTCTCATCCCAAGGGGGTGGACTGGATGGCCTTTAGAAGTCCCACAATCCGAGTCCAGCCTGGATGATCATCTCTCAGGAGGGCTTGGATTGTGCCTGGAAGAAGGAGGCTGGACTGGATGACCTTTGGGGGTCCCTTCCAAATTTAGGTGTCTATTCTATAGATGGCCATCTGTTGGGAGGGCTTTGGTTGTGCCTTCCTGCCTGGAAGAAAGACTGGATAGGTTTGGGGGTCTCTTCCAAGTCTATGATCCTTTTAATATTATTATTATTAATCAGATTATTATTATTATTATTTAATTATTATTATTATTAGCAGGCTGGCCATCTGTCGGGAGGGATCGGATGGTGCTTTTCCTTTATGGCACAAAGAAGGGTGCTGGACTGGATGGTCTTTGGAGGTCCCTTCCATCTCTTGGAGCCTTTAATTCTACAGCCCTATTTCCCGCTAACAATGAGGCTGGATGGCCATCTG